GTGCTATGTTGGCGTCGATGAAGACAATGTGGGGGAAGTGTCATATCTGATAATCATTTGACTTAATCCTGAATCATTCTTTGTGTAACTTAAGTTAACTAACAGTAATTCAAATATTTCCATAAAAACATAGGAGTTAAGGACGTCGCATGTACCACCAAACATAATTCAGTTGTTAAACGCACTGTCAGCGTGAACAACTATTGTGTCAGGCATGGACATAAAAAGAAGTAAGTCAAGTTTAGCCAGGTCGATGTTGGGGGTGGAGAGATAGTCATTCTTAATATGTATCAGTGATGGGGAGTTACTTCAAACAAACAGGTACATGAGTATATTCGTTCGTATTTCCACATTACGTCACCACCCCTACAATGGGAGATGTCATGTTAATTTCCAAGCAACGACCTGGTTGAGCCCGAACAACCCAGATATTTGATTTCACAGTAAACTGTTCCATTGCCACCATTAGTTTGGACTAGTCAAAAAGTTAAATGAATCTTCTTGACCTTGAATAATATTTGTTACATTTATCAGAACCTTCTAAGAAATAGTGATTTCGCATTCAAAAAAACTAACGTTTTAAAAGAGTACTTGCCGTCTTGGTAGAATGGAGGTAAACATACTGCGCAAAAGCGCTCGGTTCCAAAATGAAAGAAGAGGTATCAAAGCGAGACGAAAACACAGAGAGTTTATCTCGTAAATATATCAATGTTTAATTCAATCAATCTTTACCTGTCATAGTCCATAGATGTAGCTGGCGATCTTCTATTCAACAATAGAAGTGCTTTATTTCTAACAGTTATCCTGAGACATATTACGTTTAAAATATTCTGAATAAGTGGAATTTTATGCATAAACTTCAAAACAAAAGAATTATTGAGACTGGACAGTCAAGAGGTGTTTGGTTATCACAAATCTCATGCGTCATCAACACTCATGTGTGGTATCAATCAAAACAGACACTGGCATGTCGTAAAGCATGATCAAATGAAACTGATTAATATTAGATGCATTAACACAATTATCAGGGCGTATGGCAATACATTGCAACAATGGAATTTCAATAGATGGAGCAGTTCACATGAATGCCTGATTTGTTTACAGGCCGCCTTCGTATCACAAGAGTACTGCTGTGCCGCGATAGGCTTGATGAAACACTTAACATTTGTATGCAAACTGTGTGATGGCGGATGCTTCCCGTAGGGCAGAACACCCGTACTGTTTTCGCGAACATTTGGTATCGTCACTATTTCTAAGTATACCATACCATAATTTTCACCACTACTTTGCCCTTTGCGCCCTATGAAATCTGTCTCGGCAGATAATCGGGATTGTATATTCTCTGACTTTGACGTTTTATTTGTATTCAGTAAACATCGCATAAACAAGTAGTCACTGAAAACTGAGTGATGTTTGATGCAGTGCAATATTTATAAGGACGTGTGCCTTGTTCGGAACTGTAGTAACGCTGCTTTTGTTTGTGGTTCTTGCAATGTGTTGCAGCTGGACGTTATTCACGATGTAAACAGGGATAATCAAGTCTTTGAGATGAGATGCGCCCCTCAGACGTGCCTGAGACAGTTGGTCGCGTGTTTTTGCCCCAAATCGCCATAACATATTTTGTATTGAGGTGACAGCCCTACATCCGCACTCGTATGGCTCACGATTGTTGTAAACATACACGGCTGGCATCCCTTCAGGCATTCTTTTAACATCGTTCTGACATGGCGTGATACATCGGAAACACTGTTCAAAGATGTAAACATTCACTCCAAATGTTGTTTCAAACTAAAGCAATGCTTATCATTTTATTCCAAAGACACGGAACTCACTCTTTACTCAATAGGTTTGCGCTTTAGAGAAGATCAATCCATGACGTGGTTCGTATGATATGCATCACCGTTTACTTCAACATCGGAGGTGTATGTACCAATTCCACTCTGACAATACAAATGCCAAAAGAGTTTGACATGACACCTGAGCTTCTGTTGTAATGGTTGTAATTTACTTTTAAGTGTTATCATTAGTTGGAACAAGCATGTGTAGTTTCGGCTTTGTTGGACCACCCTTGTGACGGTTCGAAATCAGGTCAGACGAATGTCCATGGTAGTGCATCTCTCTCCCACTTAAAATGTCAGGTTGAGTAGATCCTTTTGTAGCCAGAGGCATGTAGATCCTGTTTTGTGAAAATGACGAATAGACTTGGTAGATCTTCTGGACATTAGGATAAATTACGTGATATCGGACCAACGATGGCCGATGACCGACAACATCAGCGTTTATTGACGATACAAAGGTAACCATATATAACCCCAACCGATGCCCTTTCATTATCAAGATGAAACATCGAACTGACCTTTAGTATGAAACATGACAAGTTGAGTGAAAGCCCTAACCAAGTTAAATTGAATTGACTGATAATTACTGAACGCTACGATTAAGAAATATTTAATGAAGGAAAATACTGTGGTCAGTATATAGAGGATATTGTATGAGTTCATGCCATACTATGTTTACGATACAAGTGTCTAAATACCGTAATTTAGGCACGAGTGTCGTACACATATTATGACATGAACACGAATATAATGTTCTATTTATGACCGAAGAAGATGTCTTCATACAGAGACAAATTTTGGTGTTTAACTGTAAGGACAGCAAGTCGCAATACAGCGGAACCACAATTTGTCGAATGAAGTCAACAATCTTTAGCTATGACATCGTTTCTAATGTGACGGCATTCCGACGTCACATCACAATAAGAATCGAATAACGTCAACAATGCCGTCCGGATGACGGAAACAATACACCGTTGTCTTTTGACGTGATATGACCCTATGGTACATTTTCTATCAACCCCGATATCTTTGTCCTCTTGGTAGTAAAATGTGATATGTGGATGTGATAATTATTGAACTACTTGCGTGTCGACATCAACCACACTGTGATTGAACTCCTCAATGTGAGTGTGTTATTGTAATGAACAGTAAGAATGTGGGTTCCTTAAACCTGCCAGAATCCGTTGATGCGTTCGAATCACAGCTCTATATCAGTTGTATGACGGATAGAGGAAATCACTTACAATAAATATCATTGTCATTAGGTGAGCCGTTGTGACATGTTCCTTTTGTTTAATGCCGCATTCAAGCTATATGACGAGTGCCTGTAATATTCACGCCTCGACAAATGATTGATACTATGAGCAACACATCACGCCGACGATGTAATGATGACACACATTCAAACGTCCCAAAGCCTGACAGTGCGATTCATGAGGTCGCCTCTTAGCAAGAATCCCCTTGGGGCGACCTGTCAGAACCAACCTATCAAATGTGAACAAGCAAAACATGTGTTGTATAAGAGCCATATCTTACTGAGAGTATATTGTGCTAACGCTCTGTTATCCTGCTTTTCTGGCAATATATTATGGGATACCAGCATCGGAATAATCTAAGTCATCCAGAACCAACTTGTTTGTCTACTAACTTTTCATGTGATTTTTAATGTCTGACATCCTACATCTCCTGGGAGTATAATAGGATATATATCGTCTCCCAGAACTCTTCAGTTATATTAACGACAGTCGCCAATAATCAATATGTGCAGCACAAAGCGACCAATGTATGTAACAGACATAAAGTACTTTGACAAGACAGCAGCAAAAATCTGCATTTATAATAATTTAAGTGAATGTCAAAAAAGGCAAATGGCGATGTCTATATTGCTTACTACAACGTCTTGAAATATTTTGTTAAAAAGAAGCGAGCAAATTAATATCCATTTGAAGCACATCTGTAATAATGAGTTGGATTACAGTAAGTCACTGGCTCGCATGCCTGGTCGTAAGAGGCGATACATTTAGAATGTGTCTTCTGAACTTGTTGATAGCATGATTGTTGTCCTTGATGACGTAGATCGTTGCTCATGTTGTCAGGCAGTGGTTTGACAAACTTAGATGACTCACAGGCGGCCGTGATATCTAGAATAATGTGGCGTTATACCAACTCGTACAGTGCAGACCCATATTCCATATATGTAGATTTTTTAACTGTATCATACTGCCATTTTGAAGCGCATATGTGAACATAGAGTCTTCATATCAAAGAATTCTTATGGCGTGCACATTGCTGATGGTCACAATGTAAAGTTTATTTTATGCTTATCGAGGTGAAAAAGTTTTTTTTGAGAAGACTTTGGTGAAAGTCAGAACATAACCCTGTCGCAAATGACACGTGACCCCTCATCTCTCTGAGAGAAAATAATCACACGTGAGCTCTAAATCTGAGTAAAATATGAATTCAATTCAATGGGAAGACTGGATTTATGACATGGCCCCTAAGGCCTAATGGAAGAGGTGACTATATTTGACTTGTCAAAAAGTGTTTTTGTTGTTTTTGGTGTTTGTCGTTAAAGCCATTTATATTCCAGCCGCCCTCAAATAGTCCTCTCTTGACCAGGCAAACCGGTGGTTGATATTATGAGCACCGACCCACGACATCGCTACACGATGACATGCAATCTCCCAAGTCACCCGATTTTCATTGAACCATAAGTTTCTGACACAGAATCCCGACCACGAACCATTGCTTTCAAAATGATTAGCTATTGTGGAAATAAATAGTTGTTGAAAATTGGATGAAAATATTGGAGCAAATAATGATATAGTTAATCCAACTCTCTGATTCTCTTTGAACAGTTAAGAACCATTGGTACTTGCCTTCAATTACCCTTTCAAATATTATGCTGTTATGTCTAAATTCTTTATTTTGATATGTTAATAAAACCAACCTTAGTCTGACATTAGTGTGAGTGAAAGTCAGAAATGATAGACGGTTTGCACACTGCTTGCGTCAAATGTTATTTCAATGAAAGAGAAAGATTCGAGGAGGTCACAATTTTTATTCAGAAATGTGAAGGGATAATGAAATAAAACACCAGTAAGTAGTGATGTACATTTCCATTGTTAAGATATTTATTTCCATGTATCATGGTCGGTAGTAGTTATGTGACCCATTAGTTTAACTGTTGATTGCATACATCCTGCATGGCACGGAAATAGTGACCAATTAGAACAGCTGTTGTACACTAGACAATCTTATAGATGGAAATCCTCCAGCCTCCTCCACACATCGTGCTTCTGTCACCACGACATGGGACGTTGCATTCACTGTCGGGTACCTTCATGTACCCATCTTTGATGACATCACCACAGAAGCATTTACGCCCTCCCTGGAATCAGAAGTAGCATGTGCAGTACTGTATCTGATTTCCTGCTTATTTGGAAACTCCAACACTAAGCCCCCGATAACCGGATGTATATGTCTGAACTTGTGATTCTGAAGAAGGGAATAAACAAACTTGACATGAGGTGCTCGTCACAAAGGCAATTGGATTAACATCATGGTACAAATATGCATGTCGCCAGCCACAGAAATGTGAGTATCTCGTGGTAATTATACGATATGTATCCGGTGTGATGGGCTGGTGTCATGTGTTTGTCTGATGTACTATTTAACGGTCTAGTCTGGTGTATGGGCCTGACGAAATGGTCTCATGCACTGGCCCGTATGAGGTTCTGGTCAGATGTACTGCTCTGAGGTACTGGTCAGACGGATACATTTGATGTTAGCCTGCTGTATTTGTACAATGATATGAAATCTACCAAGTTACCAAAACCCAACAACCGATCAATTTCTCCCCATACGATACACCATAGGAACCAATTCATACCCAGAAACCCCATGTCCTCCCATATAGCGTAGTGATGTGGATTGTGACAATGAAATATGTGCATCAATAGTATGTGCATCGCTACTACATAATATACGAAACATGCATCCCTTAATATCATGCGAATCTGTACTGATACATGGTTTTCTTGCAACCCTAATTTGGGCGATCTCTGTCTTCCAACTGGTACAAATGTAGAATGTTCCAACTCAAACCACCAGTATCTAGCCACAGAGTGACATCATTTTGGCTCTGTTACCATTTGTACTTAACCGAGAGAATAATAACTACAGCTTACCTATGTTTGAGCTGGAAAGACGTTTTAAGTCTCGTGTGGTAGACGGTAGCTCACAAATAGTTGTTTTAGTAACATATAAGCCTTGTTCATCATGTCAGCTTTAAATTTAAATATAAACAGACTGTCACACTCCAGTATTGGTATGTTGCTATGTACCTTTCCTCGACCAATGTGTTCGTCCTTCGCCAAGTATTACATGGAGTTTGGGAAGAAACCTAGCTACATTTGAAAATCAGCAAGTGATTCTATCTGCTTTTAACTTTTAACACTTGTGTTTCTGTTGCATTTGAATGTTTGTACTACTGTTTATTATTCAAAAAAATATATAATTATTATAAATTTCAATATACCCTAAGTCCAAAGAAGATGTAGTTCATTCCGTGGCAATGAAGCTTGCATGTTTCAGTTGTCAGGCATGTTCCGTTCACCAATTTGCCGTGTGGAAGTACATGACTCTTGTCATCGTTGTAACACCCAACGTATGTGTATGGATCTGTAGAACGAGTAGACAAATAATAATGATCAGTAGGGGACATCAAATATATTTTGAAGAAATTAGCCAAATGTAATTGGTAATGAAATACATGCAAATTAAATGTTATAAGAGAAAGGTGTGCTCACGACCAAGCATGACGAACAGGTGAAAATTAAAGGAATTTACTTAATATTAACGGTATAATTGTACGGTCCCTGTGTAAATCATATGGACAAAGAGAAATTGTTTGCGATTACTGAACAAGTATATTATATGAACACTGCTTCCGGAATGCGACACAGAAAATATTGACGTCTAACAAGACAATAAGTTGTTTTAGTGATGGATTCTCTTATATATACTTTGAAAATATAGAATTTTTATCAGTAAAAGAAATCCGAGTACTTGTAGCTGTAAACACGAGACGTGTCGCACTACACCTACCATTTGCCTGATTAACAGTGACAGGGCATGGCGTGGTAGTAGTCGTAGTTGGGGGGGTTGTGGTAGGCGATGGAGTCGTGGTAGTAGTGGAAGGTGATGGAGTCGTGGTGGTGGTGGCTGGTGATGGAGTCGTGGTGGTAGTGGAAGGTGATGGAGTCGTGGTGGCAGTGGTAGGTGAAGGAGTCGTGGTGGTAGTGGTCGGTGATGTAGTCATGTTGGTGGAAGCGGTAGCAGATGGCGTCGTTGACAGTTTGGTAGTAGTGGTCGTGGTGGTAGTGGTAGGTGATGGAGTCGTAGTGGTAGTGGTCTGTGATGGAGTCGTGGTGGTAGTGGGAGGTGGTGGGGTCAAAGTGGTAGTGGTCTGTGATGGAGTCTTGGTGGTAGTGGTAGGTGATGGAGTTGTAGTGGTAGTGGTAGGTGATTGAGTCGTGGTGGTAGTTGGAGGTGGTGGAGTCGTGGTGGTAGTGGTCTGTGATGGAGTCGTGGTGGTAGTGGTCTGTGATGGAGTCGTGGTGGTAGTGGTAGGTGATGGAGTTGTGATGGTAGTGGGAGGTGATGGAGTCGTGGTGGTAGTGGTAGGTGATGGAGTCGTGGTGGTAGTGGTAGGTGCTGGAGTCGAGGTTGTGGTGGTAGCAGATGGCGTCATGGACAGTGTGGTAGTAGAGGTCGTGGTGGTTGTGGTAGTGGCGGCTGTTGATGCCACACACACGTATGTAGTCCCTGCTTCAAGTGGCACACAAACCTCGTTCTCTTTACACGGATGGTCGCGACACACCATCCCCTGAGACTCTTTCTGCCAACACATAGGAAAAAAACCATTACAGTTTCTACTCTGAACTTTGGATTCCATTAGGATTATACATACAGAATGCGATAATATTTGTGAGTGAAAAATATAAACGCCAATGGATCTTTTCAAAAACCTGTTCTAAATGTAGAAAAAAAATTGAAACACAGGTTTTATACATGGATACATGGAGCCTTTTTAAGTTGTCCCGACAATGTTATTGCTGATGTGAAACTCATTTCGGTGTGCCCCAATATCGTATTGCTGAAATATTACTTGAAGCAGCATAAAACCCAAATCATTCCAAGCTAGTTTTAAAGGGTAGTGACAACAGCAATCGTTGAGTATAGCAACACGAACAGCCTCCTAAATTCTAAATCTGTTTATCTCGAAATGTATCCTTCTTTGGAGTGTATATCCCTTGTATTCCAGTTCATCATTCTCCTATTACCTAGAACGACAACAGTTTGCCACAATGGCCGCAAACAATTATTTCGTATATTATTTGTAAGGGTGTGGTTGTGGGCAAGTGGCGTGGTTGCAAAGGTAATGTGTGAAGTTGTGGGAAAACGTGTGTTCTTGGAGAAAAGGATTGGTCGTGCGAAATGGTTGAGGTTGTAGAGATGGTAAAGTTTTGAGATTGTGTGAGATTTTCGAGAAGCGATGTGGGTTGTTGGGAACGGGGCGTGGTTTTTCGAAAGATCTGACGTTGTGGGAAGTGGTGATGTTGGGTAAGGCGTATGCTTGTTGGGAATGAGTGCTGTTGTATCTGGTTGTGTGGTTGTGTGAAAGGTTGCGGTTTTTGTGAAAGGGGTATAGTTGTGAACATGAACTTTGTGTGAAATCGAGCGATTATGTCAGAGTTGTTGCAGTTTTGTGGAAGGGTGAGGATTTGTTGTGTGGTGTGTGGTTGTGAGCAAGGTTTGATGTTGAGGAGCACATATGAAGTTATGTGGAGGGGGCGTGGTTGAACAAGAGGTGGTGCTGTTAGACAGGGATAAGGTTGTAGGAAAGGGGCGCTGTTGTGGAAAAGCTCTGCGGTTCTGGGGAATGTGTAAGTTTGCGCTGGGGGTTAATGAGTGGGTGAGTATGGTTTTATGCCGCTTTTAAGCAATATTCCAGCAATATCACGGCGGGAGACACATGAAATGGGTTTCACACATTGTCCCCATGTCGGGAATCGAACCTCGGCCTTCGGCGTGACGAGCGAATGCTTTAACCACTAGGCTAGCGCTAGGGGTTTGATTCTTTGGAAAGTGTGATGGTTGTGAACAAGAGGCGTGAAAGGTCAACTATCATATCCTTAAACATGCTTCATGTTAATGAAGTACAGAACAGTATCTGAGAATTGACTGCATTTGTTAGGACTTAATGAAGATATTATACCTCAATGTAGAAATGATCTACAGAAACATAGCTTGCATTTGTATGGACACTGTATATACAGCTTTATGAATACAAATGCATGCATACAAATACATTCTCCGACTTTTGTGTCCTGTGTTTACCAACACCAATTCTCAAAGACAAAGGGGGTTGGGATTTTAGTCGCAGCTGAATACATCTATAATGAGTTGTCTGTGCCCTTTAAATGGGTAAAGAAAGCAACCAGACATTAATCTATGACTCGGGTAAGAAAGTGCATGGCAAACTGAAAACAAAACACGAGAAAGACAATGTAACGTTCATACACTTTACATTTCCACGGAAGCAGAGTCTTGTTTCTATGTGATCTAAGTGGACTATCATCAAGGAGGAAGTTTGTTTTCATTCCGTATGGTGTAGTGGATGATTAATTCAAGATTGGAAATACCTTTGTTTTCCTATACATATTTATATTTGTGTATTGTTACAAAAGGGAACAACAAAGTCCCAACACATTCCGTACAATAATATCCAGAATGGGTTTGTAATTACTTACTTATTTAATGAAGATAACAATACACTACTTCTTTTGTTATACAAATGGGTGATTTCATCCTATAAATGTTATTATGTTATTTAACTTACCAAATATTTTGCATGGGGCATCGTCTCTGTCTCTGTGTCACCTTGTGTGTGCAGGTGGCAGCTTCTGGTGGCAGCATCCCAGGTGTAGGAGCCACACCTCGTTGTGTAGGTACACAGAGAATCACATACCAGCGACGAAGGCACGACCCGGGTAAGGAACACATCCTCGCCTTTACATGTGGCGTGGCTACATATAATGTAGACTGTAAACAGCTCAAATACAAACATGTACATGGTTGAGGGTACTGTTAGATTTTACTTACTCCTACAGACGCCGACTAGCCACTAACATGCAAATAGTAACGTACAGCTTAATATATCAAGCCGTGGGGAATTAACGTGCACATTAATATTGATAATGAAGTTCTGCAAGTGCTAACTTAAGGACTGACAACTCATTGATTGACTTTCTATAAGTAAGGGACGGCGGTTTTCTTTTGGGTAGAGTATCAACAAAGTAAGGAAAATGAACATCTCCTTAACCTGAGTATAATCTCACATGTACCCTAAGTACCGTACTATATTACTTTGCGGAGACACTGAGTATAATTTTTGAGTTGGCATTGTATGCTGTCTGAATGACTTTACACAAATCCCTGCGTCAATGGACCCGTGAAGATCTTCAACGACCCATTCTTGGCGTAAAAGGGCGACAGCGCTTGTCGTAAGAGGCGACTAACGGGATCGGGTGGTCAGGCTCGCTGACTTGGTTGCTGCATGTCATCGTATCCCAATTTCGTGGATCGATGCACGTGATGTCAATCACTGGATTGTCTGGTTCAGACTCGATTATTTACAGACCGCCGTCATACAGCTGAAATATTGCTAAGTGCGGCGTTATACAACTAACAAACAAACAATCACTGTGACGAGGTATGCATATCTTGCAATCAACCTGAATCCAGTTACTGGAATGTTAAACCCGGGCTTGGTTAAAACAAGAATTGCAGTTAGATCCCCTATATGCTGTAGATCTCCTGTAGTCAAGAGATGCAATTGCGAGGCAGAACAATGTCAATTTATGAGGGACAGACAGCTTCTCGAACATATATAAACATAGCAGCCAAAGATAAAAAATGAAATCATATCATGTACGAAAATAGAAATCATATCAACACAAAAAGAGAAAGTGTATGTGTACTAAAACTGGCAATAGATATGCGTACCCTACGTACACACATGCGTCCCATTCGACTGTCTACAACACACGAATAACTGTCAAACAAGTTTGGGTACCCCTTCTGTTCAGGCAAGTTATTTAGTTCAATAATTTTGTATTAAAATCCTTTTCAATTTGTTTGCACCATTTTCCCTATTCCATGCATGTTTATGCTGCTACATCTTATTGCTCATGTTTCCAAGTATTGTAAAACACTTCAGTGTTTCTCCTTCTTAATCAAACGTTATAACATTTCAGGTCATAACCATCATCTAATACACAAGAGATGATACCGAGACATATTTTATTCGGTTTTATGGTCAATGCGGTCTTACAATTGATTTAATTAGTCTTCAAATCTTATGTCTAGTACATATTTTCACAAACAGGGCTGTTAGATGATATAAGGAAGGTAACATCCAGTTGAGGACTGAATACGACGTACTTTAGTCTGTTAACGACGTTTCTACAATTAATATTTCGAATAAGCCGTTAATACGCCAGTTGTGACAGGGATGATGGTATGGTAGCTGTAGCAGACAGATTGACAGCCGTTGTTACGTGAGTCACTAGGTTATTAGTACGGCATTGGCCTTGTTGATTGTTACTCTACTTTGAGGATTTCTGTGGCCAGTGGCGGACGTAATTCAAACTCCTTCCACACTGACATCGCACCAAATATATTTGTGTACCGATTACATAACTCTTACTGACAGGGTAGGGTGGTAGTTCACGCGAAACGGACGACACTGTGTAAATTGAGAGGCTCCTTTAATATCGCCTCACAACATACTTTTAATGAATGACCCATTAAACGATGATACACATCAGGATCGCGGAGAAAATACAAGATTCGTTCTCGTTGAATATATATATCAAGGCACGAATTCATCTTTCATAAACTTGTTGTCTCTTTGTGCTTAATATATCCATATATCAACGAAAATGTGTAATACATGTATCCACAAAAAATATATATATACAGGGCATTGCCTAAAAGTCGGGCCGGGCCAAGACGGGCCAAAGTGTTATTGGCTAATTACTTCATTATCGGCGATCATACCTTCATATAATTGATGCAATATAAACACATGACATGAATGAACAATCACCAAACAAAAAAGTGCACCATAATTAAGTAATTCGGAGTAAATCGCTTGAAAACCAGAAAGTGGAGCTGTGTGTAAGCGTCGCTGATCTAGCTAACCTGTAAAAGAGCAATCGTTAACCGAAATAAGATTTAAAACGTATAAAATACTTCTAGCTATCGTGATTAAAATTTCCATCTGTCGGCATAGCGTTTATATTTATAGGAACGTATTATATCTCAATAAATACCACTTTATAATGTCACTGTTCGTCGTATTTAAAGCTGACACGTTGGTTAAAGTAGACCTCTTCTCCCTATACTCTTAACAGTCACACAAGTGTTCGGTCCGACTTGGCCCGGGCTGTCAAAATCAACTTAAACCTCACAGATGTATCATGAAATGGATTCACATCTATAGATTAGTATTATATCTACCTAAATACCACATTATAGTGTCTCAGATCGCGGTATTTAAAGAAAACAAGGGTCTCAAAGTGAAACCCTTTTCCCTCTACATTATCAACATAGTCTCAATCAGATGTGTTTGGCTTGTGTTGGGTCCGACTTGGCCCGGGCTGTCAAAATCAACTTTAAACACACAGATGTATCTTCAAATGTGTTTACATCTATAGATTAGTATTATATTTACCTATACACCACTTTATAATGTCACGGTACATCGTGTTGAAGGAAAACAAGGGGCTCAAAGTGAAGCATTTTAATTGTATTTTGTTAAGAAAATCTATGTAAAAAATGTTCGGTCCGACTTGGCCCGGGCTGTCAAAATCAACTTAAACCTCACAGATGTATCATCAAATGGATTCACATCTATAGATTAGTATTATATCTACCTAAATACCACTTTATTGTGTCTCAGATTGCGGTATTTAGAGAAAACAAGGGGCTGAAAGTGAAGCCCTTTTCCCTTTACATGCTCAACATAGTCTCTATCAGAAGTGTTTGGCTTGTGTTGGGACCGACTTGGCCCGGGCTGTCAAAATCAACTTTAAACACACAGATGTATCTTCAAATGTGTTTACATCTATAGATTAGTGATATATCTACCTATTAACCACTTTATATTGTCACAGTGTATGGCATTTAAAGAAAACTGGGCCGTTAAAGTCAAGCTCTTTTACTGTATTTTCTTAAGAAATATATTAGCAAATAAGAATATGTGATTGATCACTTACACACTTTAATGGTTTCACAAAAATTTTATTAAAAGGAACGACATTTCTCTTCTGACATGCTTGATTGTATTGCAGTCATTACATTTCCCCAAGACTCTGCACCAGTTTGATATAACGATTGTCACAACAGTGGGATTGTTATAAACGCATTGACGCGAGAAGGGACGCGGTAACTAAAGAATTAAAACATTAACATAAACATTTTTTTAGATTTTGGGATATTGAGATCCCGCCTTGTGTTATATGGCATAACGTGTTTAGTCAAAACACACACATCCTCTGTTCCTTTTGGGACTTAAATCTAAATCCTGAGAACCTGTTGTGTTTACCTTGACACACTTTTTCTCTGGAATGAGTAAGATACACATTTGAAATGGAACTCGAGTCTGCGGCGTGCTTAGCGATCGATATTACTGTAAGGCCACAATAGCACCCGAATAGGCCTCTGAAAAGCGACGCCACTGATTACGTTACTGATTGTTGTTTAAGACAACCAAACCGGAAATGACAACGTGACAGCAGAGATCACATCAGCAATAAGTATGGGTTTCATATGATTTATTTTGTAAAAATGCACTGAAGTGTAGCGTAATTCACTGTGTTTTAAATTCCAATATCTTCCAGATGAATAAATGATATCGCCAACTTGAACAAGGGGATATTATGTTGTGACAACGATAGTCTGCCGTCTGTTTATGTTTGTCACTGTGAATAGCCATGAACACAACGACGGAAATTATCATAAATAATTTGTTGCACGTTATTCTACTGCTTTACTGTCCAGATCATATTACACTGCATCATGAATAACACACCCCAAGTCAAATTAATGACATTTTGCATCATTGACACGATCGTTGAGTTTTGCCATAGTTGATGGTTGGTGTAAAATTTGCTTCCATCATCTCAAGGACACGATGCTTGCCCATTGCCCATTGTCTTGCGAACTAAATTATTACGATCTACAATTAATGTTCCCTTTGAATTCGTTATAACCGTAGTTTGCTGTATAAACTTACTTTGATATTCCCAATGGTGCGTGAATGTTACTGAGTCTTTTGTGTGTCGGGGGCACGGGTGGCCCAGTCGTCTAAGGCGCCGCGATTCGCTGTGCAGAGTTGAAGATACAAGCCAAACACTTCTGAAAGAGACTATGTTGAGAATGTAGAGGGGAAAGGGCTTCACCTTGAGCACCTTGTTTTCTTTAAATACGATGTACCGTGACATTATAAAGTGGTATATAGGTAGATTTAATACTAATCTATAGATGTAAACCCATTTGAAGATACATCTGTGTGTTTAAAGTCGATTTTGACAGCCCGGGCCAAGTCGGACCCAACACAAGCCAAACACTTCTGATCGAGACTATGTTGAGAATGTAGAGGGCAAAGGGCTTCACTTTGAGCCCCTTGTTTTCTTTAAATACGATGTACCGTGACATTATAAAATGGTATATAGGTAGATATAATACTTAGCTATAGATGTTAATCCATTTGATGATACATCTGTGAGGTTTAAGTTTATTTTGACATTTTGTATTAAGAACATACAGTAAAAGTGCTTGACTTTAACGGCTCAGATTTCTTTAAATGCCTTACACTGGGACATTATTAAGTAGTGTATAGGTAGGTATAATACTAATCTATAGATGTAAACACGTTTGAAGATACATCTGTGTGTTTAAAGTAGATTTGGACCGCCCGGGCCAAGTCGGACCCAACACAAGCCAAACACTTCTGATAGAGACTATGTTAAGAATATAGAGGGGAAAGGGCTTCACTTTGAGCCCCTTGTTTTCTTTAAGTACAGCGATCTGAGACAC